ATTGAATTTGACGTTTGATATTAAATACAAAAAGGATTGTATCAACCCTATATACCCTATATATTACTATACTCTTTGGTATCAACCAAATATAGCGGTACAAAACTTCCATAGAATTTTGACCACATTTGGTATTTTTATTTAAGAATTTACTACGGTCACGTCCTTTGTAAATGCTCCAAATTATGTATTATTTGCGGGTATTTGTAGTTTTAAAAAAATATCTGTCAAGTTAAGACGAATATTTATTTTCAAGTGCGGTACTGACGAAGCTGTTTCACATTAGATTCTTGCAAGTTTTTCAGTGTTGATATCTCTGTAATTCGATTTAATTATTAATTTATTAAATAAAATGTCGCAGACTGTCGTCAATAACGTAAGTGCCTATTAACTAACCACTACTTATTATACATACAGTACATTAGTTGTAAAACATCAACAATTAGAGTATTAGATATTTATTAAGTTGCAATTATAGCACTTAAATAGTTCTCTTGAATTTATGTAGCTGTTGATACCTACATTATTTTTTGGCTTTAGTTAAGTAGCAACTTACCTAAATGATTAATTAGCTCTTATTTTGTCAAGGTAGCTGGTTCAAGCATAGAACATGGATTCGGTGTAGCTAAAAACTCCCCCTTTTCGTAATACACGTGCCATAATAATCTTATAAACTACGTTCAAAAACACCGACTTCAACTTGCTTTTTTTTTGAAGTCGGTTAATTAATAACTAAATCCTTCTATCTATGTGTAACAAACATTTTTCTGAACGCATCATAATCTGTTTAGATAACCGCTTACACACAAACATACATACACAATTGAAAACATCATTTTTTTTAAGACTGTTAAAAAGAGAAATATTTCACCGTTATGTGCACTATGGTCTACTCCGTTGAGGGAATAAAAGCCATGATATAACGTTTATAGGAAGCCTACACAGATGTGGTGGAACTGTGTGCCCTGTTACAATGCCTCGGGTTCAGCGTCAAGTCCATGGATACGAGCGACGGTAACCTCAGCCAGGATGGAGGCGTCAGGAGTGTTGTTATCAATTGTCAGGTAAAATAATACCTTTATACATACAGAATGTGAGGAATCTTAGAGCCTTGTCATTTCTAATTATAAGTTTGATATCGCCAACCCGAGTTGTGCAAGCATGAGAAAGTGCCTTTTCTGAGCAGTGGGAAGACGGTTAGTTGCAGATTTATGGCAATGAACCTATTATCAGCTTCTAACTACATAGGACTCAAAAAATATCTGATCAACAGGGTTTATTGTATTGCCTTGAACTTGGGTATGTGATCCCCTGCTCTACGTATCCCTTCTGGGATTGAAGGGCGTAGTGTTATGACGGTAAGCTTATCCAGCACAGAATTTAAAATATTTCTCTTGGGTAGATCCCAATCTTTCGGACTCTTACATGTTTGTTAAAGCGGGGAAACCCCTTCACATTTAGCCATCCATGACACGTACTTAGTACTTACCTAACCTAACTATGGAAATCAGAAAGATAATATCTATGTTAAGTAGGAACAATACCTTAAGTGTGGGAGAGTCATGCTTGGGCACGAATGGGCCGACTCAACCGGTGTAATACCACGGCCTCACTGAAAACCGACGTGAAGCAACGCTTGCGTTGTGTTTCGTCGTGTGAGTGAGGTTACCGGAGGACCAATTACCCTCCCGTTCCCCAATCTCCCCAATTCCTGAATACCCAACGATTCTCAAACTCCTAATCCCCAAAAGGCCGGTAACGCACTTGTAACGCCTCTGGTGTCCCAGGTGTCCATGGGCGACGCCGATTGCTTACCATCAGGTGATCCATCTGCTTGTTTACCGGCTTATGCCATAAAAAATACCTAATGTTTTGTTATGTAGTAAGTATCTATTAGTCAATATCTACGTAAATACAATACTATGTATTTAGACCATTTTATGTTTTCATTTCTAGTCATCTGGTCTCCACGTGGTGTTGGAGAGTGCCAGCCTGTCTTGTTCCTGTCCCACCACTGCGAGCCAGCAGACCAGTGGGATCTGGCAGGTGTCTGGCATGACCGGGGGGAAACATTTAGATAAGGTAATGTAGGAAGGGTATTCAAGATGGATATTATAGGTAGGTACTTAGGCACTATAATCCCTTCTTCGATATTGTCAGTATGGCGACGTGTGATCAAAACAAAACGAAAGACGTCGAATGTTGAATAAAGGTTTTCTTATATACCTACCTCACCTGGCTATACCTAGGTACTATATTTGTTTTAGGAATTCGGATGCTCCCTACTTGGGTCGTTACCAAAGAGTCATCGTGAACGTCTTTCGAAGGAACTCCACGAGATGATTAGATGCATCAAGCAACACAATGAATCGGATGCTGAGATGGGCAAAGAGGCTATAGCTAATAGATCGTCTAGTATGGTTGAACTGAACACTCCTGAAAAACGGTTAGTAGGTATAACTTAGGTATATTTGTAAATTGGGTAGTTTCCAGGATATCAAAATTAAAAATCTAATTAGTCCGTCATTTAGATAATGAAAAAACATTAGACACGTTTTTTTTATTTTCTCGTATTACGTTGCAATACTTAGATAAAATGGCGCTAAGATAGGAGTGGGAGGTGGTTACGTCATAACGTGCTATAAAATGTGACACGCTGCGACGTCACACGTGATTTCAAATTAATATATCGTCGAAAGTAAAGTTGACTTTGTGAGAAAAGAAAAAATACGTGTCTAAAGTTTTAATATACCAGACGGACATTAAAATAGAAATTTAGGAAACTACCCTATTGTCATAACGGGGTGGTGATAAATGACGTAAAAATGTTGGTTTGGAATGCGTGCAGAGCCGTATTATTAAGGTAAACTAAGCAAGTGCCTAGGGTGCTAGGTTACAGAGAGGCGTCGTGACATCGCGAGACACGCGTGCCCGTAGTGACGGCGGTGTCAAATAAAAAGAGGTGACCTGAGGTTCTTCCCTAGGGCGCTCTCTATACTTTGGTTTAATCCGCCTCAGAATGCGTGAATAAAAGTATATAAGTAGGGACTTCCATACATTGTACTCCACCATATCAATTTTATTTTTAGGGACTTTCCCTTGAAAACTGACACACCAACTCGCTATCGATCTCTAGACACGTTAACAGCAGCCAAGAGAAATAACGACCAGATCCCAGAGCCCGGGCCACTGCACAAGGTAGAACATGCTGATGTTTCTGCTGATGGAAACAAAGAAAAGAAGGTGAGTACTTATCTACACACATACAAACAAAAACATACGCCTTTGTCCTATGAGATTATATAGGAACTAGAGCGCCACATATTATGGCTCCATCTTTAGATACTTCATGGCATCCGCAAACAAAGACCGTGGTTAAATGCATATGGAATTATAAGATGGAGGGCGAATGATAAGCATTTATATAGTTAGCTCTATAGATAAATTAAAGCAAATATTTGTCGTTTCAGCAAATTATGTGTCGTAGACAGAGCACGTACACGCTGTCTTCTACTCCTGGCAGCGTCCGCAGGCGAAATAAAACTTCAAGGTAAATATCATACAAACATTATAGTCATTGCTATCTCCTATATTGGGATAGGTAGGCACCCCAACAAGCATATGAGTAGGTACATACCTACTCGTATGCTTATGGAAATTCGGGGTTTCGAAAATTGGGATGATGACAGGGTATGAAAATTTAAAATCAAATTAGTCCGTAAGTTAGGTAATGAAAAATATTATACATTGTATTTTTTATTTTGTAATAAAACAATATTTAGATAAAACGGATCAATGTTTAGGAGTGGGGGCTAAAACGTCATTAATTGTCGAAGGTATTCTTTTCTGTAAGAAAATAAAAAATACATGTCTAATGATTTAAAATAATCTACCAGACGGAAATTAAAATAAAAATAGGCATCTACCCTATTAGAAATCCTTTAATTTATGAAGTTGATGTTTTGACTTGAACTTAGGTAGGTATTATTTATATTTTTCAGTCCAATACACACTTCTCAAAACACTTTACTGGACAACTTGATAGCTGCAGAAAAGGCGGCAGAGGATTTGCATAACAAGCTAGTATGCGTGATTAGGGAATATGTGGAAGACGGCAAACACGATTCTTCGATGTCCTCACTGACGCTGGACGTCTCCAAGATTTCATTACTAAAGGTATAAAACTATTATTCCTCGAGAACTGTAACGCCACTTTTCACTGTTATGGAACACCCACGTAATGATCTGGTGTTTTTACCATGCATGCTTCAGTTTCCCTGATATAGGTACCATTTCAGACAGTTAGCCTATGTAAAAACAAATTAAGCTTTGTAAGAACGAATCATAATATATTTTTTCTTGTTTCAGTGTCCAGATGCATCCAAAGCTCAATTTGCATCGAGTCCAAATTTATCTGCAATGGGTGTTGCCAAAGATGACTTCAATAGGCTGAAGAGATTTGAAAGCGTTTCAACATCAAATCTCGTCCCTAAATCGACAGTTGCTAAAGAAAGCAAGATTACGTCGAGATTACGCCGTATATCGCCCAATCTTTTTAAATCGAAGAAAGAATCTCCCAGTGTTAAAATAGAAAAGCCCGATGCACGAAGTAAACTGAACAGTAAGTTGCCTATATTAAAAAAGTCTACGAGTTACATATAATGTAAAAACTAGAATTCTTTGTTGTTTACCTTAAAACAGAATAAGAGTCTATATATTACTTTTAATCATTTTACAGGTCTATTCAAACCAAAAATAGTAACTCCAGTACGTACGCCCCGAGCGAACCCAGAAGCAAGTCCCGGCCTTAGCTCATCACGAAAGAAGTTCAGCCATGTAAAGTCAACTATACCAAGACCTGCTAAAAAAGAATAAAAAACATTTAATTTATATAAAGTTTAATCCAGAACTAACTAGTTAGCGGGCAAGTGATACAATAAACTACTATTTAAATATACTATGTTATTTTGTTACCATCCTATATTATAATATGTATTTTTAACACAATAATTGGATACATCAAGTATCAGATAAATCGGAATTAGTATAAGTTCTCAACAATTTCTCTACTTCTTTCTCTAAACTTTCGTTCTTATTTTCAGACGACTTTTTCTTTGTTTTTGACCGTGAATGCTTATTTGGTTCTTTATCCTTTTTAAGAGCTTTAAATTCTCCACTTTTGTTTCTCTGTAGATGTATTGTAGCAGGATATATTATACTTTCGATCAACTCTTCTCTCGTTTCTTTCGTAGTGAAGTCACCATTGTTTTGTGCTGCATCATGACTTTTCTTTCTGGTCCTCCTGTGTTTTTCAATACAAACTTCATGAACACTTTCTTCTTCGCTGTGCTCAGATTGATGATCAGAATCTAGGTCTTCAACCTGTGCTCTTTCTTGAATTTCTTTCTCTTGACTTCTAGTAGTTAATTCTTTTAGAGTGTACTTGTCACTCTTTAAACTTTTGGTTCGGTCTTTTTTCGCTAGTTTAAGGCAAATTGTTGCTTTTGGATATCCTGTGAATTGCTGATAACATTCTCCTTTCTCTAGTGATACAAAAGGTGTGTAAAATCTTCTAGGATGTATGTCTTCTGGAGTTTCATTCAATAGTACATAGGCCTTCTTCAGAAATGTTTTTTTATCAATAGGGTTTTGCATATGGAAGAAATTTTCAAGTTGTTCATGTGTCTTTAGCCTCTTTAGAGCATTTCTTTGCACAATATTGTATGAAACTACTGCCATTAGAATGAAAGCTGGCTCATTACTAAGTATGTGATCCCATAATATCAGCCATTCAGAGCAAGTTAGTACTTCACTAAAAGCAGTTTCTAATATTTTTAGAGCATAGGTTTGACTTGTGATGCCGACTTCACAGAAATGATTCAGTAATGGCTGGTCATGTTCAGCCAGAATATTCTCAACAATTGCCAAAACACTAATTGGGGGAAAAGGGGCATACTCAAACCACAGTTGACAATAATTGCATAACACACTGGCCACAGACTCAAAAAGTAAAAGAGGATCTTTTTGAAGGACTTTTACAAACGGAAACACAAAACCAGGCAAGAACTTCATGACTCCAAATAAGGGACACCAGTGGGCAAGACAGGACAGTAGACGTTTCAGATTTTTAAGTGTAACTGCACTATGTATGGTAAACTGTTTCTCTATATCCTTGTAGGCTGGATGGATACCTTTATCAATGAGACCTGCATATGCAATTTTATTCCGAGGAGTATCTAGCAATGACCTCCAGATGATCGAGCGGAATTTGTCAGGATACTCACCATATTGCATGAGTATTCTCCTTAGCCTAGCGCTATCCATACAGACACGCATCTTTTGTTCAATTTGAGATTTTGAGTTAGTTTGCATCTGAGAGGGACACTTATGGGTGGAGGTACCTGGCATTTCCTTTCTCATAGTTTCTACAACACAATTTTGACAGTTCTGAGCTGAATCCATTACATATGAACAATTGTAGATATTAACTTCACCAAGTTGGAGAATGCACAGAAAATATTTTCCTGATGGGCTAACAACAAATTTACGAATACCAGATGATTCTGGGTGTATCATATGGATAACAGTTAATGACTCTAAATCCAGTAAATACAGCACACAGTCACTGCTTAAGATGGCAAGGATCTTGTTAGCTCCTCCATCAAATAACTGCGGGATGAAAGCCAATTGGTGGGCACCACTAATGTTGTATTTTGACATGTCTATTGTTTTGAGGGCCTTCCAAGTGTCCATACTAAACAGAATCAACATAGGCGCAAGCCCGGCCATGGCCATAGCACGGCCGTTCATAGTAAACGCAATACTTTTCATGTGCTTCAGCTCACTTGGTATTATTTGCTTGACAGATTTCATGCTCTCATGTTTCCAAATTTGTACAGTGTCGTTTTGAAAGCATGCTACAAGGTAGTCACCCGCAGGAGAAAACATTATTTGTTGGATCTGAGCACCTAGGAATGTGTTCAAGGTGAAGTATTTGGTATAGTTACGTAGTTCCCATAGTATGGCTTCAACTGGACTAGCAGTCAGAAGATTGTTTGTTTTAACATTGTTAGAGAAGGAAATGTGTCTTACTGGTGCAGTGTGGCCTGTCAGTGTCAGAGATACTTGTCCAGTTTCAGTGTCTAAGAAGTTCATCTCATATTTCTTTGCGGAAGCAACGATCAGCGTATCTTGTTTGGCCGGTATGAATTGTAAGGCAGTGCACGGCCCAACTCCAGGTAATTTCCAGAATTTTAGGTCGGAAAAGTCAAGTATAAAGATGTTGCCTGCGTTGTCGGCGCATGCGAGCTTGTCATGGGCGTCGTCGAAAATGCCCGCGGTGAACCGAATTCTGCGACATTCTCCATTTGAACCTCGAACCGTGTGATGCAGCTGTAGTATGACACCGTCCTTCGGCTTGGATTTTAACTTGATATCGAATTTTTCGATAGCTTCCCGCTCACCTCTCTTCTCTTGTTCCATCAATGATTTTATCAGTAGGTTTATATGAATCGAAAAACATGATATTGTCAGATTGTTGACATATTTTCTTAGATTTATCAGACAAATTATTTAAAATTTGGCGGAATCGAGCAATCAAAACAAAAACAGAGATGTCACAAATTCTTAGCGACAGGCGAAAATGTCACAGTCGCAGCTTATTGCTACGTTCGGATATTTCATTTCAATCCACTGAAATGGAAGTGAGGTCATCCTTAAGGTTGATGTAAAAAATGCATTCAATTCCATCAATAGGGACACTTTGTTGGCTGAAGTTAAAAAAGAATTACCTGATATTTACAGTTTTATTTGGCAGTGCTATAGTCAACCTTCAAAATTATTATATAAAGACAAAGTTTTGGATTCTGCGGTAGGCTGCCAACAAGGTGATCCTCTTGGTCCAGTCATTTTCAGTCTGGCCATTCACCCTATTATTCGGCAACTTAAATCTAAATTTAATGTTTGGTATTTGGACGATGGAACCTTAGGAGGTGACGCAGATACTGTTTTCCATGACTTACAGCTTCTGATCTCTAAATTTAAAACCATCGGATTAGAATTAAATATTTCTAAATGCGAAATTTACCTTCCGGACAAAATTATTGACAGACAACGAATTTTAAACACTTTTTCTACCGTAGCGCCGAATTTAAAAATTGTTGATAAAAACTCTCTTCTTCTCCTGGGTTCCCCAATTTTCGAAAACAGTTTCTCTGATTTCATAAACGAGAAAATTAAAAATTTCTGTGACATTTCCGATAGACTTTCCAAAATTAATCTACATTGTGCCTTTACATTAATTCGCTATTGTTGTTTCGGCCCAAAATTTATGTATTTTCTGCGTGCTTCCCCTCTGTGGAAACATCCGCATATTCTGGACCAAATTGATCAAATTATCCGTGACACATTAACTTCACTTTTGAATGCTTCCATGGACGATCGTGTTTGGCTTCAAGCCACACTACCAATTCGTTTTGGTGGCCTAGGCGTCCGCAAAATTTCCAGTGTTAGTTTACCGGCGTTCATCTCTTCTGTCCACAGCACTAGTACTTTAACAAAAAATATTTTAGCCGGTCTTGACGTTGAACCCGATGTGCCGTGTCTGACCGACGCGATGAACGCCTGGACAGAAACTTGTCCCAATACAGCCTTGCCTGTCAACCCTTCCTCCCAGAGACAATGGGACGAGCCGCTTTGCAGGTTGGTGCATAATAATCTAATTAATACCAGCACCAATCCTGCGGAGTTAGCTCGCCTATTGGCTGTGGGTGAGTGGGAATCAGGTCTCTGGCTTCAGGCACTTCCGTCATTCAATATTGGCACGATGTTGAATGACTCAACTTTTCGGCTTGCTGCTTGCTTGCGTGTAGGTGCACCCTGTGTTTCTCCGCATCGCTGTCAATGCGGTGAGATGGTCGACCACCTCGGCCACCACGGCCTATCGTGTAGCAGAAGCGCGGGCCGGATAGCCCGACACGCCAGCATTAACGACATCATCCGTCGAGCTCTTGTCATCGCCGGTGTACCAGCTGTTCTGGAACCAAAGGGTTTGGCACGCGACGATGGTAAGAGACCCGACGGTATGTCCATTATGCCCTGGAAGCTGGGAAAGTCTTTGGTGTGGGACGCAACCTGCGTCGACACCCTTGCACCTTCTCATCTTCCAGTAACGGCGAGTTGTGCTGGTTCGGCTGCTGCCTCTGCAGAAAACCTCAAGCGGACATTTTCATCTGTAATGGCGGATAGAACTAGGGATGTGACTTTTAAAACTGTAGAAATATCGATATTTTAGTATTGGTTTTAATTGACTTATCAATAAAATATCATTATTTTATCATTCATCTGGATTTAATTTTTATCTAGCTACTAAACATTACCAAAATATTAGCGAAATATATTTAGTAGTTGCTGCGTGCACTATCACTCCCGTATCATAACTTTCACGATACATGTGTATCGAAATTTATGAAAAGGATTTTCCATCAACTGGTCAACATTTACATACTTAAGGTTAAGTAATTTTTGAGGGTTGAAAAATAAAACTGTATCAAAGTATTCATAAAATCAAGATTTATAATATTCAATATCTTCGTATTTTTCGTAGTGTCTCCCTGTAATGTAATCTGCAAAATCATCTTTCGAGAAGACTCCAGAACTGGTTCCAAGTTCATTTTCATGCACATATCTGGCTAGAGGCTGCAACATAAATAGTATAACTTAACTTACTTGATCCAATCGAACATAGATTTCTGTATAGATTCTATAGGTACTGTACTAAGCTCTGAACGAAAATGTTTGTACATTACAATGATAGTGATAGATAGCGGAGGAAAACAGAAACATATACAAGAACCCGGTTAGTTATGAACTTAATATGAATGTTAAATAAAATGTTAAGTTTGCACCTCTTCAAAAAATGCTTCCAAAACTAATATAACATAACACATAATGAATAGTTTACATTATGATTTTCCAATAGAGCTTGTAGCGATAGGGCCCCATCACGTATATTTACTATTAATTTATTGTTCGGTTAAAATATTAATCTTCAAAATAAAGTTAACAAACAAAGATATATTATGTTTCCTTATAGTATCCATGTTTCCCACATTAATTATTTCCAGGCAAGCACTTCTGCGTGGTTCAAGCACAAACTAAAAAGAAAATTTATAATATTATTAAAATTATTGGCAGAGTTCGACACATTCTAATAAATACTCTAAAAATACCCTAAAGTTATATTTCATTTGTTTGCTTCATTTGAATTCCTCGAGCGGTATTTGATAAAAAATTCAATTTTGAAAAAAAATGCATTTCCCACAATATTTTTCCTTATCTCATATTGTACAAAAATTATTCCTCTATTGTATTAATTATTTATTACATTACGTAGGTATTGACGATGGTGGATTTTTGTCAATAAAATGAATTTTTTGACGAGTACTTAATGTTTTTTGCATTTTGTCATTATGTCAAATTAATGCACTTTATCATTCAGAATTTAGTATAGTTCTTTGTTCTACTTTTGACACATTTATTATGTACGATAAAATTATCGATACGGGAACAGTCATGTACATCACTATTTTTTAATGAAAAATGTTTTAGACGTATTTCAACTAAAATTAATGAAAATTAGCACTGCATTAGTTAGAAAAGTATTGTATTTAGTCAATTTGCAGCAACCACACTTGAATAGTTTGAAAAACAGAGATATTTTAATGAAAAATAACAGTACTTACCGATGTAATGTTACACCTGCCGGTTTAGTAATATTTTTAGTGCTACATCCAATAACACTGCACCCAGGCATAGTTTTTCTCACTAACCAATAATTTCTTTGTTTACCACGCACAAAAACAACAGGAATTCTACAAATTTTCGTAACAAAATATTGTTGACAAATGCTTTGACAGCTGATGTACCACTGACATGCACTGATAACAGGGACTAAGATGGCCAATTCGGCACAACTAGGTATTTTTGATGACGTCAAAAAATTATTGCCAGAATGACAATAATGTGTTGTCTCTTTCTGCATAAGCAAAGAGACATAAGTAAAAAAGAAACAACAGTATGTTTATGAAATTATCGTCGAGATGGATCTTAAATTCTACCCGTAGACAATAGTCAGACATCTATGTTATATTTATAAATCTATGTTTCAATCACCTAAAAAAATAAGTTGGTATCTCTAGAAATTTATTTGTATTGAAATAAGTATGTTAAAAATATGGGAAGCAATAAAAAGCTAGTTACATTTTTATTCATCACTCTATATATAGGTTGGGTTTAATAAAAATTAATGCGTACCACAAGTAATGCACAGTTTATATTGATATATCCTTAGTAAGTATTGTTTGTAGGATTATTTTCATACCGATTTTATTTTTTAGGCCACGTTATCGGTACTATTTTATGTATATTATATCATTTTAATCAAGTCAAGTGAAAAGGAACGTTAATGTTTGACTATGGTAGGGACTTTTCTTTTTTGTATTTCTTTATTAACCATGGCGGGCCATACGTGGTTCTGATAAATATAGCTGGCTGTGTATAAAAGAGTAATAAACAAACCTTTTGCGTCATTTTAGTTCGAATTCGGAATCCGTGCGGTTCAGTGTTTCGCGAGTTTCCATTAGTTATTTCACATTGTATTTTGAGAACAAGTTTCGAGGTTTGGAATATTATTAAGGTATGTTATCTTCTATATATATATAAATGGAACCCGTTTCCGTTGTCACGCCTTTTTGAGAACGGCTAGACCGATTTGGCTGATATTTTTTTTTGTGTTTATTATTGTCATTCTTAATTTAGTCATATATTAAGAACCTTAAAAATCCTGAAAATTCAACGGGAACGGGAGAAAACGGGATTGCGCGTACGAAGTCGCAGGCAGAAGCTAGTTAAATTTAATATTTATTAGTTATATACTAGCGGATACGACAGATGTTATCCTAGTTTATTATACGGACCTTGTGGAATCTAGAACGAATTTCCGTGCGTTTAGGCGTTTTTGCCATACCTATTATTGGAAGCAAGTATAACAGCTCTGAGCTCACACATAGGACCCACTTAGTTTTTAGTCAAATTTCCGTGGTGCTTGGCGACTGGGCTTCACCCAGTTGTACAGTCTCTTCTTTGTGCCTTTAGGCTTAATTCATTCTGTCTCCTGCAGTCATTCACCGAGGGAAGTGAAAACCATAGTTTTTTCTTCTTCTCCTCTTATAATATCTTCTGATTCACTTCGTTGCGGGAACCAAGACAGTTACTCATGTCCCTGGGACGCGCCGGACTTCAGTGTTCCGATGTTTTCATGGTTGTATCTACTGTAGATCCTGGCTTACAGGAGTTGCAGCGGTTTTGGGAGGTTGTGGCGGGCTTGTCCCAATAAAAAAAAAAGACGTTGTCCTGCAAATAATAATAGGTATAGATAAATAACCAAGATACCAACTGTAGCGCCATCTGCCGGGCTGATTTGTGAATCTAACCATTCCCAGATCCCCTTGAACACACACAAAAAATTTCATCAAAATCGGTCCAGTCGTTTGAGAGAAGTTCAGTGACATACACACTCACAGAAGAATTATATATATGACGGGGGACGTGTTTCGGTATCGCTCATTGTGGGCCTCCGTGGACAGTGTTAACACGAGAATTACACAAGGCTTCACTTTTGCAATCGTTTTAATATTCAATTACAATCAAATAGAAATTACACAGCAGATGGAACGCGTGATAGTTTCAGTGTCGTCTGCACGGGGTGAACTCTAACCAGCAAGTGCTCCGCTAGCGGCCGCTGCCCCGGTCCACTGGCAATCCCCACCCCGGTGCATTCCAAATTCCAACACTAACTCCATCGAACGCCACTAGATGGCGCTGGCGTCCCAAAGCTGTTTCCTGATATTGCCGACATATATAAAGATTATTTATTATGTATTATGCAACGAAACCTAACACAACATCATGATTCAACAACGAAGGGATAGGTAGAGGTGCATATATTTAAAGTAACACCAATTTATGAATCCACCTGTATATTCGCACCATCCTCGTGTAATTTTTCATAACCAAGAAAAGTAACATACTGTGCTAACTGCTTTAGGATGCCGTAGGATGTGTTTCAAAAAACTAAATCATAAGTATAAACATTCGACCAACGACTTCTACCAGTTATTCCAATTTCTACCAGTTTATGTTATCTATTCGTCCTGTTGTCATACGAAAATTTATTTGAAAAAAAAAAGTATGTACCTCTTTGGCCTGCCTCGTTGGCCGAGTGGTCGCAAGTGCGACTGCCGGGCAAGGGGTCTCGGGTTCGATTCCCGGATCGGGCAAAGTATTACTGGGTTTTTTAAAAATTGAATTGAAAATTATTACATGGGGCTCATAACATAAATAGTGAAAAGTGGGTGTTACATTGTACATTGGCATAATGTACACCTCTGCCTACCCCTTCGGGGATAAAAGGCGTGATGTTATGTGATGAATTGAAAATTGAATTTTTGGAATTGTGCCCGGGATATGGCAAAAGGGGGTGTTACATTGTACAGTGGCATAATGTGCACCTCTGCCTACCTCTTCGGGGATAAAAGGCGTGATGTTATGTTATGTTATATGTAGGTAATTTTATTGGATTTAGATTGGGGATTGGGCTTTCGGTACCCTCACTCATTACCGCGTAACACACTCGTTGAAATTTTTTCAAAATCGTCTCCGGTAATAAGGTTTATAATGTAGTAAGTGGTAGTTTTTTCTTCTTCTCCTCTTATAATATCTTCTGATTCACTTCGTTGCGGGAACCAAGACAGTTACTCATGTCCCTGGGACGCGCCGGACTTCAGTGTTCTGGTGTTTTCATGGTTGTATCTACTGTAGATCCTGGCTTACAGGACTTGCAGCGGTTATGGGAGGTTGTGGCGGGCTAGTCCCAATAAAAAAAAAATGTAGTTAGTGGAGAGCGGTCACCGATGACCGCTTGGGGATTTACGGTACAATGCGAGCGTTACGTGGTTTTCTGTGACGCTCTTATACTAAAAACTCTTCCTTACATAAGTACTAAAATAACCTTCGTTTCGGCTGTGCATTGTATCAGTCACCCCAAGTGTTGATATTTTAATACACAGGTTTATAGTTATATCCTCAGATCAGATCTTTAAACTGTGAATCACCGAGCGGTCACCGGTGACCGCAACCTGTTGTTCAATAATTGTGTCTATAATGACGGTACTCCACGAGTTAATTAACCTCTTTATGTTTATCGTTTTCAGATTCCAAGATGAAGTTTACATTACTACGGCAGTGTATCAAGGATAAGAATTTCAGCTCACCACATATTTTGTCAGACTGTGACCTCGTGGTGGATGGAGACAGGTTCTTCAAGGACACCTACAGGAAAAGCGAGTGCCAGTACATCTTGGGACCTGATTGCGACAAGTACGCGGAATTCATCACCAACAAACTCAGTATTTTCCTAAACAGTCATGTCAAATGCCATTTTATATTTAGAGGCGCCATAAAATCGAGCATAGACAAAAGGAAGGAAATTCACGAAAGGATAGTCTATGATCAAACTGTCACAAAGATGAGCTTGGTGTCTCACTTCCAACCGCTTTTCGTCCAAGATATTCAGAAACAAGTTCTAGAAGAAATGGACATCAAATATTTTGTCTGCGAATATGATTCTATGGAAGCAATTATTGGTGTTGCCAAAAAATTAAAATGCCCCGTTCTTACGGATACACTAGAGTACTCCTTGTTTGGTGTGTCTTGCATTCCAACGCAATCAGTTCTATGTGTAAGAGGATCTAAGACCCTAATTTGTACAATCTATGACAATGAAAGGGCGAAAAATGCTATTGGTGTTTATAACAAGACGCCAATGTTATTGACTTTGCTGAATGAGAGTGGAAGTTATTATGAAGAAGTAAGTGAATTAACTGATTATATGCCAGGTGACTTTATATGGCCAGTTGTGAAATGGGTAAAACGTCAACGAGAAGGTACTATGGTCAGTAAAGTTTTAGAACGCATTCGTGGAGAAGAGGAAAAAGATGAATTTAAGAATGTATATGAGAGAATTCGAATGCTATACGAATATCCATTTTGTAATTTAGCCGTGAAATATTTCCAAAGGAACAGAGTTCACGGTCTGTACCGAGATGATAAGAAATGGTTCGCGAAAGGAATTTCTGATGGAAGAATTGCACCGGCCTATATTGATTTGAAACAAGGAGTTGTTCTCGGATCCACGTTAATGAATGACCCCAAGCGTCCGGATGCTTTATTGGCAGCTTTAGAAATTGTCTGTTACAGTCACTGTCTCTTGACAAATTCACAGAGTTCAACTATCACTTTTGTCGGTAGACGGGCTGATAAAACTGTGATTCAAGAAATTTATAGTCGTTGGAATAAAAAAATACAACAGAGAGATATATTTACGAAACAACGCGATGGAAAGAGGTTAAAGAGTGTTTTCACGGAATTCGTAGAGGAAGTTCTGCCTGGATCTGATTTCAGAAATCATCTTCTGTTTGTTCCCGTAGATTGCTGGCTCCTCATTATAACTCTAGTCTACTATATTGTTAGGAAAAATAAGGATTTCATAAATGCTGCGTACTGCATACTTTTGTCGTATATCGTTTTAGGGCCAGTGTCAAAAGAGGTTGATAAATTAAAAAAGGGTGAGTCAGATTTACGTCTACATGATACGGATTCTATGAGTTTTTATGACAATTTGAAATGTATGTTCAAAAAAGTAGATCTGCATCAGAGGTACGACAGTAGCACAGTTCACTCATTTTCAGAATTTCAACATTGTTTACAGTATATGAATTATTTAAACAAACTTTGCGGTGAAAATATCCCCTGTACTGTTTACCACGACACTTACAATGCGACATTTATATATAACACTTTAATGTTTATGGAAAACAAAAATCATTTGATGAAATATTTAAAAAGCAAGGTTGCGGGGTCACGTTGGTTGGATATGTATAAAAAAGTTGTCAGTGGCTTTGAGAATTGTCTATCAGCCGTCGAAAAATTCGATAAATATAATGTAGAATCTAGAGTGTCAATTAAAATGAATTACAAAGTTTGGTAATTATTAGTAAACCTACCTAAACGGGGCCTATTACTGGATTCCCTATTTTCATTTTACATATCCCCTATTAAATGGGACTCGATGGGAGTCGTGTGACATAAATGACGACACATGTGTGTTACGTACGTAGGTACGTAGGTACATAATTTGTGAAATTAAACTATTAGGTACGGGTTAATTATATACATATAATACTCATATTTAATAAAGAGACTGCCTCGTTGGCCGAGTGGTCGCAAATGCGACCGCGGCGGCAAGAAGGCCCGGGTTCGATTCCCAGGTCGGGCAAAGAATTACATTTAAAAAAATTTGCGTGCGTTACCCCAACAAGAAAGTATCTCCTAGAGATATATGAGTAGAACGTATAGTTGGTGCCTTATCTGCTGTAAATGTGCCCCCACTTAAAAAATGTGTGCCCCCTGTCGTTTTGAAAAAAAAACGGAAAAATGATTCTTGCTGGGGTAACGTTTTTCTAGCAGGAAAATTCTAAACGAGTGATCGGAGAGAGAAAAAATGTGCCTGGCCAGAGAGCTTATATGTGTGCCACTATGTGCCCCCAAAAATAAAATCTGTGCCCCTTCAGATTTTCGGGATATTGCGTTTCCTGCTGGAGTAACGTTTTGATGAATCGTATATCTCTAAAACCATTGCATGTGCCCCTGTAGAATAAACATACACGAGTAGCTCTTAATGTGTGCCCCTGTGTGCTCCAATTAGATTTAAGGAAATATTTATAGTTTTCAAGTTACCGCGGTTTTATGAAAATCCGAAAAAACATCGCAGCGCCTAAATGAGACAAGGTATAAGTTCGCTGAAAACTGTATTCGGTCCTTCTTGATGCTAGTAATAACCATACAAAGTTTCAAAACGCTTCATGCATGCGTTTTTGAATAATCTTGCTACAAGTCAAGACGATGGTGTCATAACTTTGACGGCAAAATACAAGGAAATGGCTAAATCCCAGATGTGTAGGTGTAAACCAAAATCATGTGCCTTTAATCAAAAATATGTGGTGAAAATATTAAGCTTGGAATGTTTCGCATTAAGTAAATATGAACAAAAAACCAAATTAAGTAAACAACGGCTGGTTATCCGACCAAATTTGAATGACTACTAAAAAGCGACGGATTCATACATATCGATAATCTTCTTTATTTTACTTACTAACCGGTTCACACGTGTTGTGCCTGAGTACACTGAAGTAGAAAAGTAATAAATAATAAAATCAAGTTGTTATTGGATTATGTTCTACTAGTGAATAATAGGTACAAAGTGTTTATTGACTAGGAAGTGCGTTTAGATATTTCTTTTTATTGGTAAATAGTTGCAGTTATGTAATGACGCCAAGGACACTGTTATGTTGAGTCACGCAGTTGCACTTATACTGTTTGTTTACTTAAGTTGGTTGAAAGTGGCGTATTTAATCATTTTATAACAATTATGTGGTTGTTATGGTGAATTTCAGTGCACTATCTGCGGTGGTAAGTATTTAATATCATTATTTTGACTTATTTACAAATACTTGTACCTTATGAAATAGTTGGGTTTTTTT